TGGGGTGTTCCCGGTCTGCAGTGATCAGTACCTATCAAAAGTTTCCCAAGGAAGGAAAAGCGGTGAACTGACGACATGGTCGGACCAGGATGCCCAGGTGGTCATAATGTTATGGCTGATCGGTGTATATACATACTATATACTCTGATGACACCGTCATCCTCGCACTCAGTAATGACAATAACTCTAATTTAGACTATCATCTCCATATGCCATTTCACACGGTGTTGCACAAACAACTATTAGCAGCTGAACATCACAAAAACTAAAGAACTGTTAATTGTTGAAATCTTCCAGCCCACAGCACAGCCCACATCTCCACCCACCACCCCGCCTACATCAATAATGAAGCTTTTGAGATAGTGGAGTGCTTTAAATATCTTGGACTCACTCTGGACAATAAACTGAGCTTTGAACAACACACCACGAACATTCACAAACGACTCTCTGCCATCCATAAACAAAAGCACACATCACTGCACATGACACCAGACACCCCCTCAACCCATTTTTCACATTGCTCCCATCCAACTGCAGATACTGATCACTGGCTTGGTAATGGGCTCGCTATGGCAGAAGTTTTGTCCCTTCTACCATAGCATTACTCAACAAAACACCTGGGCAGCCATTATGTGTATGTAAATAGAATGAATGTATAAATGCATTGTTTTGGATGTCTCTCTTGTGATTATGCTATTTGAGGCTATGTACAGACTGTGGCAACACATTTCCTGGAAAGGATAATAAAGAATCTATCTATCTATCAATAGTAAGTTGTGGATCTCACCATGTTTGCTGTGTGGCTCGACCAGTGGCGATTCCCTGAGCAAGAACGCAGGATGGTAGAGCATCCAAAATCACACAGAACACAGGTACCATCTGCTCTCACAAGCACATTGAAGCTGCTCAAGTCTCTGTGGGCCACGGGTGGTTTATGCACACCTGCAATAAAAGACACACATTGGTACATTTGTAATAGGAAGAAGATTCTTTATTATTATTAAACGGCAGCTAACTTTATGTATCCCACTAGCTGGCAAGAGGGGCAACCACTAGACATGTCAATGACTCAAATGCCTCCCCTTCTGTAATGCTGTTTACCTGTGAATTTAATATCATGAATTCCTGTAATATATCATCTGTTTCTATGCAGCCTTGTGCTTTAAAAAAAAAAATTGATATCACCTGGAAAAAACTCATCTTAATATAATTAATTCTGCTAGATGACAACAGCTCAATAAAATTATAGTATTGGAATTCCTTCTACAAAAGTACGCTATAACATGTACATACAGTACACACATACACACACACACATTTGCTAACAGTAATATTCTGGTACCATGTATGTAAAGGTCAGAGTGGAGGTATAAAAGTCCCTGCGATAAAGACTGGCACAACTTCAGGGACGACATCCAGTTGGTGGTGTGTTTACACAGATAGGAGTGGAGAGAGCCCTGAAATCAAAGGGTTGAAATCAGTTATTTATGTACAGCTGGATTAAAAAAAAAAAAAAGGGCTATAAGGACACTATAAATAGAGCTCTCAACAGAAGAAATGCTAATTCTCCTGATCAGAACATCTGAAAGGTAATACTTGCAGCTCCATGGAGATGAAATTCAAAGCTACATGTATTCCTAATACAGAAGAAAAGTAAGGCCATATGAATCTGAATTTTAAAAGCATTTAACTTGAATTTTGGTGTCTGAGCTTCAGTCTGAATAGTTTCAGTAGTGGTTAAACTTCACAATTAGGTATTCAGTTGCTTATAAAAGAGTTAAATCCTTATGCCCTTTCTTTGCTTCCCTACCATGACTCTTCTGCAAAAACTCATACTCCCTAACTCACTCATTTCTGAATGATTACCACTCACATTTTCAGCAAATTCCAGGACAATAAGCCAACTGCCTACATCCGGTTTCCTCCCAGTGCCCAGGAAATGGACAATCCCAGCATGCTTCATTAGTGGTAGTTCATAAACCTCCTTCTCCGCGATAAATTTATGTTTCCAGCCTGCAGGGAAAACTTTCGCGGCCACTATGGATCCCTGGTATTTCCCCTTCCAAACAGTTGCAAAACGCCCATGGCCCATAATCTGAAAAAAGGTATGAGCATTCAGGTAAAGCACATGGCACAAGATATATGAACTAATTGTATTTTCTACTAGGGTTACCTGCTGTAGTTCAATGTTGCCAACGTCAATGTCAGAGGTTTTTGTTGTTTGGCAGGAACACAGTTGAGAGACGCTGTGATCATCAAGGTAGGGCGGATTCTCCTCTAAAATAATAAAAGTCTTGTAATTAACACACACTCATTGAAGGTATTCTGACACTCCATCATACAGTCACTATTCATTTTAAACAAGCCTGACTGAATCGCCACAGAAATCTGATTGAAGAGTAACAAACAAAGAACAGAGGTAAAAGGGAGTGTTACAGAGATAAAGACCAAGGCCAGTCGGTTGAAAGAAAGAAACAGTCCCGAGGTCAAACAAAGACATCATGAGAGCTGAATCTGACTTCAGAAAACGTGGAAACATGGCTGAAGGTTTTTTTCCTAGTTCCAAGTGAGGGTATTTGATACAGAACAACTTCATCTTTTTACCTTTTTAAGGCCAACAATTTTATAGCCTGTCTGATCAGAATCAAATTCTAAGCCACTGAAAGCAACAATTCAAGAGCTGTAACTTTTATTCCGTCTTCCCACAATGAGCAGTAATGTGCAAGTTGATCTAAAACTGAGGGATCAAGACAATAACTCCTCTTGTGTGTGAGCTTAGTCAACACCCGCAAACATCAACTGTTAACTGTGCATTTTTTTATTCTAGTTTAACTTCCACTTTATGTGACTGTATTTAGTAAAGCAAATCAACACATTATTAGCAATAACAACAAAAATATAAAAAAAATGATCATGTCATTGATCACTTTGACAAGAACAGGTCTTGAAAGAGAGTTAAATTCAATTTACTTCCTAATGTTATATGTCATATTAAACAAAGGCAAACAAAATTTAAAATTGAATTTATATTCTATTAAACATTTTTTGCATCACTATCAAAAAAGCCCTTACTTTTCTCTTTAAAGTGGTGTCTCCATTTGGCAGCAACAATCATGAAGCACAGGACTAGCAAAGTTCCCACCAGAATTATTACAACAGTTTTCACAATTTCATCTAAAAAGAAAACAAAAAATATATATTAGTGTTATCTTTGAGTGATGAATGACAGCCCTTTTAAATCGAGCAAGTGTATTTGTTACCTGAAATGTTTCATTTAATGAACATAGCAAATAAAAAAGAGCAGTTGTTATTACCGAAAAAAGGGATCTGGCAAAATTATTGTAATCTGCCAAGTGTCAAATTTTAAATTAAAAGGGGAGTCGAAGGTGGATTATTTAGAGGAGAGGTGGGTAAAAAAGAAACATATTTTTAATTGATACCATTTACTGCAATGAAAAGAAAATTCCTCACTTTGGTATAATGTCAGATTATTATTTTATCACTATGTGGGTTAAAGTGATATTTAATGATTAGTTAGTGATGTTATTATTTACCTCCAGAATAAGAGTAGGCGAGTCGAGGCTTTTCCGACTCTGGGGTCCAAGTGATGTTGCTGTTGCAGAGGTCTGTGTTGCACACACACTTGACGAGGCGATGGTTGAAACGTGTTTGGGCCTTGCAAGTTGCATCTGGGCAGGACTTTTCAGCTATATCACAAGCTGCAACAGAAAAATCAGCAACACAATAGACTACTAAAAACACGAGAACCATACTAAGACTGCAGACTCACCTAGATTTATTACAAGTTGCATAATATACATTTCAGTCAATATGAGCCAGATGTTGGTGAATTTTAGTAGATATTAAATAACTGACTACAAAAACAGAATCCAGAACATGCAAACTATCCCAGAGTTCCTAGTCCAGATGTCTTAGTTTATGGTTTCTTACCGAGAAGGTCAATCTGCGGCTGGCCATTGATGATCAGAAAGTATCCCACACAGCATCGGGTGTTCTCACAGAGCTGCACTGACCCACTCACATTGCCAGCAGTTGTGTATTTGTTGTTCTGGGGACTGACTTGGAAAGCACACTGTCTCTTCTGAAGAAATGACTGGCTGGAGATGCATGTAAAGATGCATTCTGAAAGAAAGACAAATAGCGGCTGTAGATGTGACCTTTTCTCTCTGGTCGTAACAGTGATCTGTGTGATCTGGCATTTATGGTGACTTTTGTACGTAAAATGATCTTACAAACTAAGGTTCTTCAGCTTATTGTCTATTGTTGAACTTACAGTTTGTCTTTCAGGCCAACTATATTGTCTAAATGCCGAGGTAAATATTTGACTACAAGCTACAGTTTTATAATTAAGTCTTAGAGTAAGACTAACCTTCTTTGGTGATGGTTCTATTGTGACAAGAGGACTTATGTCATTAGATTTATTGTATTTATTTACACAAACAATCAACTTCACTTCCAGTAAACTGAAACAGTAAGACTTGATGAACACCTTAAATGGAAGTATCTTTCAATTTGTGAAAACTTGAGCTAGGTTTACTTGTAGATATAGTATTATAACTTGGTCCTGTATAATGTCTATGTGGGTAAGTCAATAAGAAGCCCAAATATGCATCAGAAGCCACAATATTCCTTGTAACATCACAACACACATGAGTTTACTGTTGTTACACTGTTTCTGAGTCTATGGTTTCCTGTGAATTACTGTTCAAATGATCTGCTCCATCTTTGTTTTCCTGATATTTATTGAAGCAGGTGATACTATCTACTGAAGAAGAAAAATCTTTTCCAGGAACATTTAACATTCACCGTAGTTACAGGGCATAGGTAGCATGTCCATCTTAATCTTAATGTGTTTATTGACCTATGTAGTATTGATTTTAGGGCAAAAACAAGACTCAAAGACAGTAGGGATCTACAACTTCCCTTCATGAATAAATCTATCTGTAGTCTAGTCTGGAATTTACCTTGGTAAGACGGTGCATTACAAAGAAAACGTAAGTAATATAAAAAAAGATCAAAATAGAGACAATATGCACAATATAATGATTTCATTATTAAGGTTAGGAGCCACAGCCACTTTGCTGCAAGTCATCCCCTCTCTCTTCCCTGCCTTTCCTGTGTCTCTCTACTGTCACTATCCAAGCAAAACACGCATATCTAAGTCTTTCATTTAAAGATTAAAATGTAAAACAAAATAGAAAGAAACACAAGAAACAGAGGTTTTTTCTTTATAGCAAATGCACTCACCCAAAGCCAAAATCAGTCGCCACTGTTGCAGGAACATGGTCACTCTGAATCCAGACCAGCCAAGTAGGGAGTGAATATTTGTAATTCCTGGGAATGTGAGAGGAGTTTCCCACGTTTCCCAGCATCACTCCCACTGCCACACACTTGCGTGTACAACACGTACCGCCAACACAATCATCTCCCACTGTTTAGGAATATCATCTGCATTCGAGTGGGATGTTTTCTGCAGCTGACTCAGTTCTTTAGGGCCATGGGTAAACTCAAAGAAGCAAAGAGGTTTCAGAGAAATTCTCCAGGGCCATAGGACGAGGAACTTATATTCAGCAACAACATCCAGTGAGCTTGTTTTTATTCCTCATAAATCCCACACCAATTCACTCCCACTGTGTTGTAATGTCACTTGGCACCTTAAGTGTAACTGTGAGGCATTGAGCCCCTTATTCAACTCAGGTTTCTTTG